TGCCGGGGACGGGGGCTGCGCGGTCCCCTCGCCCCACGGTCCCGCGCTCGGGGCTGCGCGTGTGCTGCGAGGGGAGGGAGAGGGGAAAACCAGCGCGGGGTGCGCGGGTGCGCTGTCCTCGCTGTGCGCGGGGTATGTGCTTGCTCGCCACGGTTTGGGCGCGGTGCTGGTGCTTACTGCCGCGACACGGTGACACCCGTGTTATTCCCACGCAGCCTCCAGCGCGGACCTTGGGCGGTCGTGCTGTGAGCTGCCGAGGTGCCTGGGCTCGGGGTTGTGAGCGGCCGTGCTGCTGCGTACGTTGGTGCTTGTGCATTCCCCCTCCACCCCTTTTATTTTCCTCTTTTTTATTCTTATTCCCTCCTCGCTTTTTAACATATGTTTTTGCTTGTTTGTTTTGTGCTTTGGAAGCTCCAGGAATGTTAATTCTGGTCTTTCCTGCTGGCTTTGGAGGATGGCAGGGCGGTATTAAGGAAGTTTGCTTTGAACTTAAGTGGTCTTGTTTTGACCTTAAGGGAAGGGATAAAGGAGAAGACTTGAAAGCTGGACAGAGCTTCTTCCAAATATTGATTAGCTGAAGGCAAATAGTTGCAAACGGATGGGCAAAGTAGTCAAACACCCTAAAAGCAGCCCTCTTCCTTTCTTAAAGTTATCTTTCGCTGCCTTAGCCTCTGTGGTTTATCCTGCCTGCAAGTTTTTTGCTCTTCCTACTCCCAATTTAACATGGTGATTCCAGTATAGCTAGAAGATCAGTTTTGGAGGATGAACTCCTAGTTGTCTGTTTTTCCAGGCTGGAGGAGATTTGCAAGAGACTGGATGAAGAAAGAAAAAAGAGAGAACAAACACAAAACATTTTATAGTTGTTATTGCTTTGCAAATAAGTGAAAAATACAATTGTGCTAGCAGGCTTTCTTCTAGAAAACTAGTCAGGACTGAAAAGCTGTCAAGGACAAGTATTTTAATCGTAAATGCTATGAACACATGGGTGATTTTAAGGTCAAAACCAAGACTGAGCTTTAAAAAGGTGGAGTATCTTGAGCAAACAAGACTTGTATTTGCATGTGCTGACATGCAGCGGGTAGTAAATCTTATGCTTCGGGCTGTAAACTGATTACCCAAGGAAAGAACTTTTCCCTCGGCGTTGCACAACAGGCCCTGCTTGGCTTTGCTCTGCAAACCCTGTCGATGGGGAGAAGTGGTCTGGGAGCTCAGGTGGCAGTTCTAGCCAAACCGCAGCGTTGCTGCGAGAGGGTGACCCGGGTAGCCCAAACGCATCCAGGCATGGACATGGAACGGGCTTGCTCTGTTTGCCTTGTCAGATGGGACCAGAGGTGTCGGATGAACTGACTAACCAGTTTCCAGGCAGAAGTCGGTAAATCTGCGTGCCAGCGTCCCGGGCATGGAATAACTGGGTAGTTGTTACTCAGAGCATCTTCCTGCCTACTCTGTTTCGCAGGCCACGTGTAGCATGAGTTTCTGTGGTGTTTAATGTATCCAGTAGTAACTAGAATCTGTACAGTGCTCAGGCATGCTTCTGAGACAGCAGTTCCTCCAGTGGAAACTGGGCTGCAGAAATCTCTGAATTTTGTTGGGAGAAGGAGAAGGTCTCAAGAAGTCTTTGAGACATGGGCTTTTCGGCAGCAGTTGGGAATCTGACTGAAAAGATCTCTGCCAAAAAAAAAAAAGGAAAGGGAGGCATAGAGGGGTCATTTCCTCACCCCTCTTTGCAGATATGATTCCTCGGCCACAGTTGAGATTTGCCTATCTGTGGCCAGCAAGGTAATGGTGCAAAACGGAGCTTATTCGGTGGTGGGTCCCGAAGAGAAATCTGGTGGAAGCAGGACCAAGAATTTGGTTGGAGTAAAAGCATGAGGCAGTGCTTGGAGTAAAAAGTAGAAATAAAAAGACATTTCTGGGCACAGAATGTGTCAGGGAATGCACAGCTGATGAGATGAGCCAAACTGACAA